AACCTGTCGGTGAATCTAGCGCGATGGTTGAAAAGTCGAAATTTTGCACATCGTCGACCCATCGAAAATTAGCGTATGGCAATGGTTAACACTTTGCCCAGCCGTAGAGATTGTTGACGTCATAGTACATCAAATACGATGATGGTTTCGATGAATCGTACGACGGTATGTATTTGTTGTTGGCTCGCGCATACCTGTTTGAGCACTGACTCAGACCACCGCGTATACCCCGCTCGACAAACATGACCATGTCAAGGTCTGTGAGCAATTCAAATTTTACACCTGTATGCTTCAACATGGCATCCCATGTGAAGCCGGGTAAGGTGTAATAGTACGCGGGGTCGAGCCCGTAAGTCGTTACGCAACTGTCGCGGAAATTTTCAAAGACGTCGGCCAACAACAATACATCTGTTTTTAGATACAAGTCGCTATATTCACCGAGCGTTTGGATGGAAAACCGCTGCCACACGTTGACAGCGTGCGCGTAATCGCTCTCGGATACCGTGTCGTCTGTCAATGAACTGTAAAATGACTCGCGAGGCGGCAAACACGATTCATTCAATTTTTCACTGCAATCAATATACTCGTACGGAAAGACACCCTTTCGTGTTAAAAGATTGAAATTTTCTTGTGATAAATGAGAAAATTCGCGGCGCAGTACCCGCAGCTTATCTTTATTGAGAAAAGATGCTAATTTGTCTGAACTTGTGGCGAGAAATCTGTATGAATCTATGAAACGTAATGTCACACAAACATTTTTTTCGTCATTTTCATCTTTAGTGTCGTTGACGTGTTTAGTAAAAGAGATATATTTTTCTTTAGTTATGGGTAATAAATCTATATTTCCGTCGTACGCGGTTGCAATTTCTTTGATGATAAAATGTGCGTCGTAGCCTGATAAATTATGAAAGACTACGGGTAAGCATCGCGACTCCTTATAATTTAAATTACAATTTAAGTGCGCTGGACCGCGGTATCGCCCGGTGAGGAGGCAGTGATCGCGTGCCTGCGTATCGTTCGGCGCGAATGGTTTCTCGCAGATATGGCAGTATATGGCGCTATTAAATTTTTGCCAATCATCTCGCTAGAAATCCATAACCGTGTTAGCGGATAAGATACTCTTTACTTCATGCGCTAGTTTTTTCAATTCATCCGCGAATCACGATATACAGTCTTTATCGCGGCGAAAACGATAACCCGACGGTGAGCTGTCATAAGAACAGTGTACGTAATACCCGATACTGAAGACGTTGTGATGTTGATAAGTGTACGTGGATGATGTTGGATCCTTATCCATCTTCTCCAATGCACACTCCAGGTCTGCATAGACCACGAACGGAACGCGCTCCTTTCTGCAATAGTTCTTGTACTCGAGCCACTTGTCATCCTCGCTCGGTAGCTTTATCGCACAATCGTTTAATTTTCCGCAGTCAACACTGTGGAGCTCTAATTGGGCGCTCGAGCTAAAGTAGTGCAAGCATCTGGAAAAAATAAATAAATTATTACTATTATTACTATTGTTACTGTTATTAATATTATCATTATTATTATTATTATTAATTATTATTATTAATTACACATACCTATCGCAGAAGTATTTCTTATGCTCCTATTTGCTGATTTGTGAACTGACGAGGCGTGATAGGTCTTTAATCAGCGTGAAATGTCCCTCGATGTCATTCTCCACATACAAGAGGTTCACATGTTTGCTCCTCTTTCGGTCAGTGAGTCGTATCGGTACAATCCCATTCTCGATGGCGTAGATGTTGACGGATATGTCATTTAGAGTATCAAATTTCTTAATTTGACTCAATTTCATCGGGAACTCAATACCCGTGAGATTTAGTATCGATAAGTAGTGTGGATACGAAGATTTCCGTTTCACATTTTTTTTGGCGGGATGCAGAGCGGCGACCACTGACCATGCGAAACAAGCAGTGTTTTTGGATTGCACGTTGACCACCTCTCTCTTCAGCATAATTTCCTCCGGGAGTTTGATGTGACATCCCGCGCGCAGAGGATTCAGTTTATTCGCGTTAACATTCAAGTTTAATATACGCGACAGTGCCCATCCGCTATCGCGTTCTTGAAACTCTTCGAGCGATGCCAGGATTGGCTCGACGACGCGTGACACGTACCATTCGCGCTGATTGGTGCATCGATATATTTCATAGTTCCTGGTTGCGATACTCTTGTTCGCGCGTTTATCGCTACGAATTCGCCGTTAAACACAGTATTTATCTTTATATAGTCATATCTCCGCATAATACACTGCACACGCTCGAGCACAATTTCACTCGCGTCTTCGAGGAATCGACGAGGCTCGATGTGATTAGAGTTTATCACCGCGCCCGTCAAAATACGGCTTTCGAACGCCGTTCCTATTTCGCGCCATCGGAGTCCATATCCGGCGCCCACGTGCATGAATCGTCCACGCACTGAATCCTTCAAACTCTCGAGCCACGCGATACGTGCGATCACTGATTGTCTATTACCGATCGATAATCGCGGGCGTTTGATCCGACTCTGTTCTTCCAGAGATTCTATAAATTCGTCGCATCGCTGTTCCCACGCGACGTACTCTTCTCTGGTACTAAGTTGGTTAGCTTGCTGTATCAAATCTCGCTCCATGTCGCTTGATTGACTAACGACACGATGCGCCTAAATCTTTGCGTTTTATATCTATCTATTTGGCAACAATGCATCTCTTAACTGTTAAATGTGCAATTTGGCAACGTCGCATTTGTATCAAATTACATTACTGCTCTCATCACCGGACGTGTCTTTTTGCATAAAATCTTAAACAGAACTTGCGAACGTTGCATTTTTAAATATCGAATTACACTAATGATTTCATCACCGTACGTGTCTAAAAATCGGTATTGTGCGAAATTATTTCTTAGCAACTGCATATTTGCAAACGTTGAATTTTGAAAATATTGAAATACACTAATGATTTCATCACCGTACGTGTCATTTTTGCAAAAATGTTGCAGCTGCATATTTGCAAATGCTGCATTTTTAATGCAGCTGCATAAGTGCAAACGCTGCATTTTTTAAGTATATAAATGTATACAATGAGAACCTTTTCATCAGTCTGCGCAAAGATGTCTAACCGTCATTGTTCATCAGTTCCACATTTACATCGCAATCGTGAACTTGGTTACCGCAACGTGCTGACGCTTTACTTGGTGTCAGAGACATTTGAGTTTGCAAAAGGGTTTTATTAACCTTACTTTTATGAGAATAATAAATTAGTTTCATCAGGAACACAAATTAGTACATGTCAGACCACATTGGGAAATGTTTTAGCTGATTACCTTTATTATGAGTGTGAAGGATACGATGCACAGCCTCTCTGGTGGCTATCGCTTGCTATGGCTATTATGGAAAACTGGAACTGTATGTATATTTAAATTTAAATTTATATTCAAATAATATATATATTTATATTTTGTTAAAAACTTCCGGTTCAACAGGTGAGTGGATCACACAGCTTGTATGTTGGTGAGGAAGATTTTATAAAATTTGCGATAAGATTTTGTGTGTAAAAGAACTCCCTACGGGGGCGTGTGTTTGCAGCAGACGCGAGTCTATAAAATCGAGAGCTGGGCAAAATACAGCTCGCGAATATACAACGCGAGCTGAAAAGAAGAGGACAAGGGATACATAACCTCAAAATCGGACAGACAGGAGGAATTCCGCCGATCCGGAAAAGTACATCTGGGCAACACGAGAGCGGGCACGTGTGAAAGAGAGAGGTGGAGAGAGAGAGAGTGAGAGAGAGTGAGAAGGGAAGAGAGTAAAGTAGAACCGAGTCGACCGGCAACAGTCGAAAAGGACAGGTGCATGAGTGGGGAGAGGAGGAAATGATAGAGAGGTCGGAGAGGAAGGGAGAGAGAGAAGAGACCTGCTTAGCGACACTGGAGGCAAGAGAAAGCAGAGTAAAGGAGTGAGTCGAAAGCGGAGAAAAGTGGGGCGAAGGCGCGAGCGGGAAAGAAAGAATTCTAGAATTGAAGCAAGAGAGAACGATGGAGAAAGGGAGGAGAGGAAGACCAACGAAGGCGGAGAGCCTAGGCAGAGATAGAAGGGACAGTAGCGGTAGCATTCTATCGTTGTTATCGAAGAGGGAACGAGGGAGCGACTCGGATAGTGGGGAGGACGGAGACGGAGAGGCGAAGCACAGTACAAAGCGTGCGAAAGCAGATAAGAAAAGCAAGGCGGAGGACAGCGCAAATAAAGAAATGAAAATGGAAAAGTTAGAGGAAATAATGAGGAAGCAGAAGGAGGATATAATACGAGAAATGAAAGGGATATTAATAATGCAGCGAGAAGAGATGGTAAAAGAGCTAAAGAAAGAGTTTATGGAAGAAGTAAGAAAAGAAGTAAAGAAAGAAATGAATAAAGAAATAGAGAAAATTAGAGAAGAAGAGATGAATGCCAGAAAGAGCTTAGAGGGAGAGATAGAGAAAATGCGAAAGACTTTGGAAGAATCGGAGAAGAGGAGGCTAGATAAGGAAAGAAGAGAGAGAAGAATGAACTTTGTAGTGAGAGGGGAGAAAGTAGGGGAGAGAAGAGTAACAGACGCGGTGAATGGTGTGTTTGAGAAAATGGGGGTAAAAGATAAGGGAATAAAAGTAAAAGAAGCGTTTCAATTGAAAAGTAGAGAAGGAGATAGTGTAATTTTAGTGAAATTGAGTAGTGTGGATGAAAAGAGAATGGTAATGGAAAATAAAAATAAGTTAAGAGGAACAAATGTATTCGTGGATGATGATATGACAAAGAGCGAAAGAGATAGACAGAGTGCAATGAGAAAATGGGCAAAGATTGAGAGAGAGAAAGGTATGAATGTAAAAATAGGGTTCGGAAGGGCGTGGATGAATGAAAAAGAGTATGAATGGAATGAAGAGAGAAAATGGATGAATGAAAAGAATTTTTAAAAAGAGCCTTCACAGATAGTAAAAAAGAGAAGAAATGTAGAAGTGCGATAGAGAAGGGAGATGGAGAAAAGAGAAAAAAGAAAATCAGGGGTAACGTGGAATGTGGCAGGTTTAAAGAAAAAAGAAAGGGACTTTTGGGAGTACATAGGAGGTTTTGATATAATTGGATTGACGGAAACTTGGGTAGAGGAGAATGAGTGGGAGAATTTAAAAGAAAGGATGCCAGAAGGATGGAGGTGGAGACAACAGTCGGCAAGTAGGGACTGCAAGAAGGGGAGAGCAAAAGGGGGGATTATAACGGGAGTGAGAACGGAGTTAGAAGAGAAAGAAAATGTATGCAAAGAGGAGCAGGGGATGCAAGAAAGGGTGGTAAGTTTGGATGGAGAGACATGGAGAATGGTCACAGTATACAATAGAGAAGGAAAAAAGGAATTGTTAGAGAAGATAAAGGAAGAAATAAAAGAGGAGGAAGAAGAAAGGTTAATGATAGTAGGAGATTTCAATGCTAGAATAGGAAGAAAAGGAGGATGGGAGGAAGGGGAAGAAGATGGAAACGAGAGAAGGGAAGAGAGATATTCAAAGGATGAGGTGGTAAATAGTCAAGGAAAAGAGCTTATTGAAGTGATAGAGGAGAGAGGGTGGATAGTGCTAAATGGGACAAAGGAGGGAGATGAAGAGGGAGAGTGGACTTATGAAAAGGCAAGTGGGAGGTCAGTTATCGACTACGGGATAGTTAATTGGGAGGCATGGCAAAGAGTAAAGAGATTTGAAGTGGGATGTAGGGTGGAATCGGATCACCAGCCGATAATTTTTGAGTTAGAAAATTATGTTGAGAGGCGAGAGGAGAATAAAAAAGAAGAGGGGACAGTGCAAGACTGGTCAGAAGAGGGAATAAAGGAATTTAAGAAGAGAATAGAGGGAGCAGTATGGAAAGAAGAAAGGGTTATAAAAGAATGGGAAGAGTTGGAAGGAGAATTGAACAAGGCAGTCAAAGTGAGGAGAAAAGGAAAAAGGAGAGAAATAGGGTGGTGCCCGTGGTGGGATAAAGAGTGCAGGGAAAAAAAGATAGAGACAAATAGGGCGAGGAGAAGGTATAGAAGAAAAAGAGAGCAAGGAGATGAAGAATTTATAAGATGTAGAAAGGAGTATAGAGACTTGTGTAAGAAAAAAGAGGAAGTATATAGAAAAAAGGAAAAGAGAGAGGTAGAAAATATAAAAACGGAAGCGGAAGCATGGAAGTTCATAAATAAAGGAAGAAAGAAAAGAGAGGGGATATGTAAAGAAATAGAAATAGGAAAATGGGAGAAGCATTTTAGAGAGATTTTTGGAGGAGTAGAGGAGAAGAGGCAACTTTGGCAGAGAAATAAAGAGGTGCATAGGGAGAAAGGAGAGGGGATAGGACAAGAAGAGGTAAATAGGGAAATAGGGCGATCAAAAAAGGGGAAGGCGGCAGGATTGGATGGTATTAGAAATGAGGCCTGGATAGAAGGGGGGGAAAAGGTTAGAAAGAAGCTGTGGGAAGTAATAAAAAGAGTGTGGGATGGAGAAGGATTTCCTATAAAGTGGAGAGTGGGAGTGGTAGTACCGATCTGGAAAAGAGGGGATAAGAAAGAAACGGGGAACTATAGAGGAGTTACTTTAACAAGCACAGGTTATAAAGTATATGCAAATATTTTGAATAAAAGATTGGTTAAGGAATTAGAGGAAAAAGGAGGATTGGTGTAGATCACAGGCTGGATTTAGAAAAGGGAGAGGAACCATCGAAAATATAAAAATATTGAAACATCTGGTAGGAAAAAGAATTAAAAAGAAGGAGAAAGTGTATGCCATGTTTTTGGATCTCAAGGCAGCTTTTGACAGAGTGGACAGGAAGATCATGTGGGAAATGATGAGGAAGAGAAAGATAAAGGAAGAATTGATAGACAGAGTAATGGAGATATATGAAGAAACGAGATGTGTGGTAAAAGTAGGAGATGAAATTTCGAATGAATTCTGGGTAGGAAAAGGTGTGAGACAGGGATGCCCTCTTAGCCCGACCCTGTTCAATATATACTTAGCGGATATAGAGGATGAAATGAGAAAGGGCAGAGGAGGGGTCAGGATACAGAAAGATAGAGTATGGACGATTGAGTACGCGGATGATATTGTGCTAGTAGCGGAAGAGGAAGAAGAGTTAAGAGACATGATCAGAAGGGTGAAAAAGTACTTGGAGGAAAAAAAACTAAATATCAGCACCGAGAAATCGAAAATTATGGTTTTTAAAAAGGGAGGTGGAAGGGAAAAGGAAAGATATTGGTGGTGGGGGAAGGAAAGAATAGAAGAGGTAAAAAACTACAAGTATTTGGGATACGTAATGACCAGAAGTGGGGGAGAAACGGAACATATTAGAGAGAGAATAAGAAGAGCGAGAGTGGCAATGGGATGGGTGTGGAGCTACGGGGAGAGGAAATTTAAGGGAGATGTGAGATGGAGGTTAAAGCTTTTCGATAGCATAGTAAAAGGAATATTATATTATGGAGTGGAAATATGGGGGTATAAGGAGTGGAAAGAGATGGAAGCTATGCAAGAGAAGTATCTGAAATGGGTGTTAGGACTAGAACGGGAAACTCCAGGGTACATAGTGAGAGAAGAATTAAAAAGAAGTAAGTTGAGAGTGGAAACGGGATGGAGAGCGGGAAGATGGGAG